ATACCTCTAACGTTTTGCCCAAGGAACCCTGATCAGGGGGGTGGAAAGTCTTGTTTACAAATCAGGCACTGTCTCCAGAGAGAGGAGAACTTATAGGTATTTTTGCCTTTTGCTCAAAAAGAAAATACAAGAAAAGTGGCAGTGAGACTTTCTAAGTTTTCAAACTTGTGCAGGTTGTAGTGTTTAGAAGGCAAGGTGCAATTTAAATAAGAACATAAGACACCAATAGTAAGTTCAAATAAGTGTATTCATTAAGTGTACAATGCACGAAACTAGATATATTAAGTTCTACTAGAGATGAAAGGTGATGGTACAGATAAAAGAAAAACCTAACTGAAAAAATTATATTCATTAACAGAGGTTTGCAACGTATTAGGTATTACGGACTGAACTGTGTCCCCCCCGCCCCGATTCAATATTGAAGCCCTACCCCTCATGCCCATGTAACTATACCTGGAGATAATTAAAGTTAAATGAGGTTGTAAGGGTAGGGCCCTGATCCAATACGTCTCTTGTCCTTACAAGAGAAGAGATATCAGAGCTCTCTTAAGCTCCTGTACACAAGGCAGTAGGCATGGGAGGACACAGAGGGAAAGCAGCTGTCTGAAAGCCAGAAAGAGAGGCTTCACCACAGACCAACCTTATCTTGGTCTTCCAGCCTCCAGAACTATGAGAAAATACGTTTTTGTTCTTTAAGTCACCTTTTTGTTATGGCAGCCCGAGCAAACTAATACACTTTTTTTTAACATGGCTGCCATTATTCCTTTCTAACAGATTAATGCAGTTCTGCAACTTGAGTAGCATAGGTGTTCTAGAAATAGCTTCCCATCACGTACCAGAGAATAGGTCTCTTTGTACGATGTATGCATCCCTTGATGTTGTGGGCCCACCTATCACTTGAACCCCATTTCTTGTCCTTTCACTACTGTCACAAAATGGAGGTATCTATTGATGTCTATTTTACAACTCTATGTATTTCCTCTGCTCTGAGTTCTTTTCTCAGTTTAACTACCTGGAAAACTCCCTGCAACCTTCAGCACCCCAGGTGAGGTTCACCTCTTGCTTTGTGCAGCCTTCCTCCACCCTTCTACAAAGAATCATCATTCACTGCTTGGCATTAATTATATCTATGTTTTTAGAGCACCCAATGCTTACATGATTGTCTGTCCCAGTTATAATTTTGCTTACCTGTTTCCCCCACAGATGTGTAGTTTTTAATAGCAAGGATGATATGGAGTTTGATTCTTTTTATTGAGTTGAGGAGAAGCTCAGTTAAAGTTTTACTAAAATAAATTGAAAACCTTTTTTTAGGACAGGAGAAACACACATTTCGAGGGTGTTAATACTCTCCTTTTAGAAATGCCTTCCAAGAGAGAGAAAAACAAATCCAGAATAAGTTTATTGAACATTTTTAGCTGGTTAGGAATACTTAAAAGGGTGAATTTTTCATTTCATTAGTTACGTTCCCTCCAGTAATAATGAAATAACCCTCATCAAAATATATGAAGGCCAAGGGCATTCTTACGCTTGAAAGCACCAATATTGAAAATAAACAAGAAAGAAGTTCTGATTGAAAGCAAGTCTAAAGAAAAGTTAAGGATTTAGAAACAGGCAAAAAGCAAAGCTGAGGGAACACTGGATCAAGAGCAAGGAAATCTGGTTTTTAGCTCCTCATCTGCCAGTCATTAACAATATCCCATGGCCAATACACACAAATATACACCCACGCACGTGTGCGCGTGCACACACACACTATTCATCTGTAAAAGGAGGGGATTTATAACAACTAAATTTTTTTTCCAGTTTTAACATTTTTCAAGATGTTCAATTGTTCTTCATTGAGATGATTCTTTAAAAAAGATTTACTTAATGTGATTTAAACTTTGTTGTCATGAAGTGATTATGATTTAATATATTAAGTTATGATTTTGAGTTATGACTTTGATATATGAGGTTGAGAATGGTCAATACTATTCACAACACCTGGTACTGGCCCTGCCCTTCCTGGCTATAGATACCTTTCATTGATTCACTCACTAACTCATTCAGAAATATGCTTCAGAACTTACAATGTGCCAGGCATCTACCTTCACTTAAAGAAACTCTTTTTTTTTTTTTTAAAGTAGGCTCACACAACACAGGGCTCGAACTCACGACTCTGAGATCAAGACCTGAGTTGAGATCAAGAGTTGGGTGCTCACTTGACTGAGCCACCCAGACACCCCAGAAACTACTTCTAAGTAAGGAATTGGCCATTCACAGGCAAATACATGGTCCTTAAAATTACTAAATCCCCTCTAATACAGAAATGGTCAAGTTTTTAATCTGATTCTTTGTGGGTGTATTTGAACACTACTGTAAAAAATTAAAATTAAAAAGCACAATGTCAAAACTCCTGGTGTTTGAACCGCTGTGAAAGATGATACAAAAAAATAATAACAATTCAAAGTTATTTACCTCCCATTTTTTGGGGGGGAAGGGGCAGAGGGAGAGGGAGAGAGAGAATCTTATGCAGGTTCCATGCCCAGTGTGGAGCTAGACACGGGGCTCGATCCCACAACCCTGAGATCATGACCTGAGCAGAAATCAAGAGTCATGATACTTAACCGACCGAGCTACCAGGTGCCCCTACCCTAAATTTTGAATGCCTTATTAACAAATAATATTTGGAAAGAAAATTAAGAAACTTTTTGGGGGGAAATAATAGTAGCCTGTCTTTGGTTTGTATAAGAATTAGTACTTTCTCGTCAATATAACTCTATTTTGTTAAGTTTAGTTATTATAAGTTTAGAAACACTGGTAATATAATGATATCAAGATACAACTTATCTTAGAAATATTATGAATTAAAGTGATTTTTATTTTGAGGCAATTTTCATTAATCAGAATTTTTTGCATTTTCTTATTTATATTTCCAATTTATTAGCAAAATAACTACACTGCACTGAAGACCATCTGTAACTATGTAGACCTTCTGAGAAACTACACAGAGAAATTACATAGCATAGCCAAGGCTGTATAATAAAATCCTCTTTGAGCAGCTTAAGGCAGAGTTCCTCAAACTGAGGTTCCTGTGCATATTCTCTGACATCTGCAAATTCTCAGATTTTAGAAACACTGAACTTGGGCCTGATCCACTCTATCCCACGTTCATTAGTAGAAGATAACACTAAGCTCACCAAAAAGTCAGAACATTTGTTTGATCTTCTTTCACATCTTCACACACGCAGCTCCTGAATCCTCTGCTCTTCTTATCCTCCCCAACAACCCCCCCCCCGACCCCATTTAGATCCTGGATCTTACCTAATTAATCATTTAAATTGTACCCATCGTGGCCAAACTATACCAGAATAAGACTCCCTAGGATAAAACACTGGATCTTACTCATACTTCCATTTTATTCCATGTGTTTCTCCATATCAAAGTCCCCGTATTGGATCCTCCATATTCTGTTTTCTCACATTAACCCGATCCCTTTCTGAGTTCGATAAACACGATTTTATATTCAAGATAATACCATAATGTAATCTATATTATAAAACAAGGTACAATGAGAAAAGAACCCGAGAGTATAGGATAAGAGAAAAACGACTCTACTGCTTTGCCTCTAATGCCCATACAATCTTGGTCACATTGCCTCATACCACTAAGCCACAGTTTCTTCAGCTGTAATGCTAATCCCCACATTCCCCACTGGTTTGCTATGATGAATGCAAGAACTGGTATGGAAACGCACCATTAACTGTCATGATATTTTTATTAATCCTTATGGGATATTCTTATTAATTTATTTATGAGGCCTTTGGCTAAGGATATAGGAGGTTGGACTTACTTGGAGGCAAATCACGGCACCACTGTCTAATATGGAGCAATGCATATTATTCCTAAACCTTGGTTTCTTCATGCATAAATGGGGATAATCCTACCTCATAGGATTATTTTAAACATTTCATAAGATAATATATAAGTTCATAGTCTAATGCCTGGCCCTGGTAAATAAATGCTTAAAAAGTAATAGCAATTTCAGAAAATATTTACAGGGTGTGCATTTGCTGCTATTTTTCATAATTCAACTAGACAAATGAGAACTTTGTGAAATTATAATGTCTGAGAACGTAAAATACTAAAGCAGAGCCCTGACCCAAATTCCTAATTAAGTTCTTGAACTTTAGCACAAGGGAAATAGCCTCAAAAACATACTGTTGGGGATGTTTATGTTATTCAATCTATAATGTTTCTTCTTTCATTTATATATCCTATAGCTATAGATGAAGGGAAAACACACTGGGGATACTTCAGGGGGCATCTCCCTCCATCAACTGATGATCACAGCTAGGAGAGCTTGTTGTAGCTACAGGAAAAGCTGGAGATTTTTTCCTCTCTCTCATTGCAGCTTAGAGATTTGTGGCTGAGAAAATGATAAGTGAATAAGCAAACACAACACCACTAAGGAAGCACAAAAGACACAACAGTGATTCCCAGAAGAGTATATTGTGCATGCTGACTGGATGTATCAACGTTGTTCCATTTAGCACCATATCCATATTTTATGTGAGTTAAGGTGGAAGGAAGCCCCCGGGAACTGATTGCTGAAGGTATCTCAAAAATTACTGCAAGGTGTGTTTATAGTTTTCCTCCAAATCTGGGCTTGTAACTGACTTCTAAGAAAAGGAAAGATGTTTTGGCTACAATATATAGCTTCTAGCAGATGTCCATTAAAATTTCTCATAAAGTAAGTATGCCCGAGGGACTCAGACATTCTGTTCCAGCTTAGTAGAAGTCAAAATTAATATTAGACAAGTATGATTTGCCTCTTGGCCTCAATTAGCGAGTCCATCATCTTGAACCAAAGTAAACAATGAGAAAAAGTGTGAAAGATGCCAATGAACCGAAGGAGACCAGGGAATTTGGGTTGACCTCAGACTCCATCAGTTTCTAGCAAACCCCTCTACCTCTTGGCTTGCTTATGACCACAGTGCTTTTTATTTTCTCTTACTTACCAAGGGCTTCGTTTCATCTTCATCTTTGTAATAATAGAGCTGATCTCCCTTGAGCACAAACCAGCGAGTATGCCAAGTCTTGACAAAGCCTCCTTGCTTCCTCAGCCACCCACACTTCATGGCATTGTTCCGCCCTTGGCCTTGTTGGGGGTTCTCGGTGGAGTCATTGTTCTCCTCCATTATCAAGCTGATGAACTTTCCTATTTAGCAAGCAAGAAGAAAAAAAGGAAGAATAAGGTACTCTGACATATTCAACTCCCTCCTAAATCACTTCTGTCCCTTAAAAAAACAGGAAGAGTGAAAAATGTATATTAACATACTTGCCAAATTTCTAGAGGCAAACCACAGACCTGACAACAACATGCCTGGAAAAAACGTGGGGAAAGTTTGTTGTGTCTTCCTTTAATGAGCTAGTCAGCTGGGTGATAATATTCCTTTCTTCCTAAGTAGAACTAAAGAATGGGAAAGTTCTAAAGGTAATGTGTTAAGAAGCAATTTTTGAAAATAAAACCACCAACAAAAACATAATTCTCATGATAATGGGCCTCTGCGTCTGGCGTGCACTGACTGGGTCCTGCGTGTGCAGGCCTGTGATTATCTGAGCAAACACTAGCCTGACACATGTTAAAGTTTAAAGGGACTATTTTTAAAACCTCAATGGAAGACATTTGCTTTACATATGTGAAAATTTCTCAAAATGTAACTGCTCCCCATTCACCCAAAGTATCCCTTTGAGAGTTTCTTTGGCTGGTCAGGAATTAGTGCAGCTGAAAAAGTCTAGGGAAAAAACAAACAACAAAAAAAACCCTGCTTGGCCAGTTGAGTTTCCTTCAACTCCAGGAGTGAGTGGTGCACTCCAGCTGCACAAGGAAGAATTTTCAAGGTTATGTGTGAAGGAGCGTAGGGTCACACACACACTATACATAGCAAGAAAACGAGTCTATCACAGAGAAATATTAATCGACAGGTGAGAAGTGAAAGTGCTGCTGTAACAACAGAGGAGGTGGCTTTCCCGGAGAGCAGGGGACCTGTGGTTACAAATAAAAGACATTTCCTGTCCCTGAGGCTTCCAGCAAAGGCTTGCTAATGTTTCTTTCTTAAGCACTTTTTCAGGAAGTGAGAAGTTCAGACTTTACCCTGTGTCTTTGAGGAGGATAGAAGAATACATATTAATTCATAAAACAGAGAATATACCTGTTTGGCATATTCATGCACAGAGCTCTTATTTTTTTCTGCTTGATTTCAGAAAACAAGCTCTCCTTCTGTCTAGTCTTTATTTCCACCACTAATTTTTCACTTGCTTTGTATGTCCACGATCCTACTTATAAATTCCATGAAGTTTCCATTGTCGGCCTTCACTCATTTACGTTTCTTCCTTCAAGGTAGAGGGTCAAACCCTCCACAGTGGGCCTCTAGTTTCTTTGAATTTAGTCCTACCATTCCAGTTGCAGGGATGAAGCAGAAGTCTGGTTCTAATTCTTCTTATTTGGATCATTCACACTATCTTAGCAGTTTTGCCTCTTCTACGGGCATGCATCACAATCTATCTCCAGCCCTGTTTCAAGCTTCAAGTAGGTCGATTGACTACCATCTGTCCCATTCAGTATCCACTTTTCCCTTTCTTGTACTGAAATATCCTCCTAATGAACATGCCCTCACCTCTACAAAACATCTCAAAACTTCCTTTGCTCTACAGGGCATTCCCACGAGAGAAGCCACTGAGCGCAGGAAACATTCTCTTCGTCGCGTGTGTGCACGTATGTGTGCAGACTGGCTCATGCCTGATGTTTCCAGTTTGTTATGCCCTTAGGGCAGGAATTTTCAACTTTCTTCTTTCATAGTACTTGACCTAGTATAAAGAGCCAAGTAAACCTCATTCTAAAAGAACAATAAATGCTGTAATGTAATTTAGATAATAAGTATGCTTATTTAGAACACTCTAAATCATCTTTTTTTGGCTTCCTGGTATTAAAATTGTTCAAATCTACACAACTGGCTATTTCATCATCACCTATTTATTCTTTGACCAATATCTTTACATATAAAGTTGAATAAGACCTTAAAACAGACATTCCAACATATGCACACACAGGCAGACCTACACAAAAAATCTCTAATTCATTGTACAACAACAAATTCCTTCTTTGGGCTCTTCTTTTTTTCCCCCTTCTCTCATATTCATGTTTTATATTAAATTTGAAAAATTTTCTCTAAAATGCTTCAAGGTAATGGGTAACCTACCATCAATGATATAAAAAAATACAAGTGCCTAGTTTTGCCTTTGTTTACCATTAATACCTTAGTAAAAAATGTGTACACATTAGATCATGATTCATGATTCTCCTCGCCTACGTCTTCTATAAGTACAGTGAAATCAACAATAGCATCGCCCACTGAACTCGTGGCTTTAATGCTTATAATTTCATGACTCCAGAATACATCAGAAAGTATTTTAATAGTGCTAATTGTAACAATTCATTAAAACAGGAATGAAAACAAATTATATCATATCCCTAAGAGAAAATAATATCACAACAATTGCTGGATGCATAAAATTAAGTTTTACTAAAGTAACCATGATATTTATAGAGGAGGTATTTTAAATATTTTAAATAAATATTTTATTTATTTATTTTAGAGAGAGCATGAGCGGGGAGGGAGGGGCAGAGGGAGAGGGAGAAGCAGACTCCGGGCTTGATCCCAGGACCCCTCCCGGGACCCCAGGATCATGACCTGAGCTAAAGGCAGCCACTTAACCAACTGAGCTACCCAGGTGCCCCAAGAGGAGTTTTAGTATTTCTACAGAAATCAGATGGTTCAAATTCTACCCTTCATCTTTAAAATGAGGATGCTGGGTTGGATCATTTCTAACCATGGTCTCTGAGAAATTTCAGCACTCTGAAATCTACCACCTCTGTAGTTCCATAAGGATAAAGACACCAGATATTATCAACACCTAGGACAATGTCCGACATATGGTGAAGCTCAATCAATGTTTGATGAATTCATAAATTTTGTAATGGGTTTGGTGCTAGATATCTAAAAGTGAACACGATCGCCCTCTGAAAGCTGATCCTGACCCAAACCTGATCTTAGTAAGTGGTACCATGATACACCCAGTTAAGGGAGAGAAAAAGAAAGAAAGAAAAGGGGGAAAAAAAGAAAAGTGATCATTTTTGATTCCTGACTCTTCCTCATCCTGAATATCAGAAGATTATATATCTCCCCAAAATATTTCAGATCTATCCATTTGGCTCCAGCTCCACCACCACTCTGTGACTGAAGCCACCATTGTCTTTGACTAGAGGGTTCTAACAGCCCTCTGACTGGTCTCATTGCTTCCATTTTTAACCACAAACACAAACATACGCTCACACAACTTCATTCTCCACAAAACAGCCAAAGTGAGCTTTTAAAAATTTAAATCAAATAATGATTTTCTACTTTTCAATTTTTAATTGGCTCCCATTGTACTCATTTTAAAACTTGGGCTTTAACCATGACCTGTAAGGCTCTGAGTCATTTGGCACCTGTTTACTGATTCATCTAACCTCATGACACCTCCTCGTCATTTCCCCCACTCCAACACACACGTGCATGCGTGCGTGTGTGTGCACGTGTACGCACACACACACACACACACAGACTCTGATGCAAGCAACGACACCAGCTTCCTTTCAGTTCTGGAAACACCCAAACCCTGTTATGCCTTGAATCTTGACACTTGCTGATCTCTGCCGTGGCTACTCTGTCTCACGCTCTTTACATGCCCGACCCCTTGTCCCAGCCTATACACTTACAAATCACCCAGTGAATCAGTTCCCCTGTTGCTATTCTCCATCACCGAACTCTGACCTCTGTCTTCCTGAAACTTAACTAAATTGTTATTTCTTTAGCTGTTCACTGCCAATTATCCTTCCAGGAGGCCATAAACTTCACAAGGTCAAGGACTTGCTTTTCCTCTCTAAGTATACCCAGTGCTTTTAAGAGTGCTTATTTGGTATTCAGGAAACAATTGTTGAATCAATGAATAAGCTATGTGACAACCACAATAGAATTCCTACAAATAATATTTTGAACTTCCTAAATTGCATTTAATGCCTTAAAGAAGATTGTATACTTTAAGACCCTGATTTTTTTTTCCTTTAACATAGAAGACTTCAATTAACATGAACATTGTACTTAAACACAATGTCAAAATCATCAAACCTAAAGGAACCTGAAACCGCCTTTCACGAAGAAATACAACATTCAAGATTTACACTTTTTAGCCTTGGCAGGAAGTACATGTAATCAATTGTGGTCTAGCATGAAGAAAAATACAGTTTACTCAAATTCTCAGAGAATGATTTAACTGCATTTCCACTGGGAAAGTACTTTCCCCATGGTTAGGACATGGCAGCTGGGTAGTACAGGAGATTACAAAATAGAACTCTCAACTTAAGTGTTTAGCAAATCCATATAACAATGACAACACAACAATAACATAAATAAATGGTTACTCTAAACTAAAATAAAAACAGAACTGATAAGTTAGCTGGTGTCTTCATATCAATCTTAGGAAAAAGCTTTAGTGATGATGACTGTGCTAAGCTGGGGCTTAGAAAGTTCCCATCATTTGATGGGCTGGTAGCTTTGAATTATTTTTCAGTGATGGAAACTGGTTTGTGTATCCTTTTTGCAATCAGATGGGCTGGGAACGCAACAGTATTACATGGTGTAATCAGAGATGAAATTCATGCTCCTAGCAGAATTTTCCAAAAGTCAAACAGCACACTCATAAGTATTTATATATGTGACTTCATTTCAACAGAGATAAATAAAAAAGCACAGAAACAAAAACGGGTACAGACTGTCATATGCCATAGAGTTGCAATAGCATATTGCATGACTACATGACTGTATGACTACACATGTTCAGCAAACACAAGAGAATGACAAAGGAGGGAGCTCGAGAGAAGGAGAAGGGAGAGAGAACAACGTGGATAGCATGACAATTCCACCACATGGCCTCTGTGACATTCAGTGAACACATGCTCCCGGGACAAGAGGGAGGTGCCTTCTTGCAGCCATGGTGCATTCCCTCGGCCTCTGGTGGGGTGAGTCTCTCACTGTGTAAATGTGACCCCAGAGTTTCAGAGTACACGTGATTTCACACCATGCGGCCCCTCAACACCAACAGGCACTCCCATTGTTCCGT